TTTGTACGGATATATATTTTCACCCAACTCGTTGGTCTCTTAGCCGACGTCTTTTACGGATAAGGCCATTTTGTACGGATATATATTTTCACCTAACGGACTTTAAAAAAACTTGTTGCTCGCACCGGTTGGTCTTTCGTGGTTTTTTGGTCGGCCTCCAAAAAACTGCGAAAAAACTTTGTCGCCCGAGGTGCTGTAGACGAAAGAGCAGGCTTCTGTTGGATTCAATCGCGGAGCCCAGTCGTGGCGATTATATCTGCGTGTTGTTGGTGAGTCTTCAGTCTGTATAAAGATTTAATCCATATCATATCATATCTGCGTTGTAGTTCAGCCTATCCAAGCGCCTTCTTATGTACTTTAGGGCGGCGACTTCTCGAAATAATCTATACATTTTGCAACGAAAGCTTCGTCTGATTGGTTGGAAGGCAGCACGAACAACTCAAGCCGCATTGCTGTACTCTAAAGCCAAGCTTCACGCGTTTATCGAATGTATTATATTGTCCAGTGCATTAGGTTATTGCCATTTTACTATTATGGCATAGTGGATTGTGGAAACCGTCACATCTCTTGAACCTATGTGGCGCATTTATTTTCTACGCGAAATTATGCACTCTTTGTCATTTGTTGTTCATTTGTAAGCCAAGTCTGCATCTAAAAAGGTGGGATAAGTGACTAATAATTTTTTCCAAGCTGCTCCTTAGCCCACTATCTTCGCTATGAATATAAACCATAGAAAAAAGTTGCCGTGGGGTCACAAGGATCATCCTAGTTACATTTTGTCACAGCTACCCTACGAACATTTTCCCCGAACGGTCTCGCAGCCTTAGTCGCTCTTCCACAGCATGTAAAGCTTTGCCATTGGCTCGAGAAAAATATGCAGAGGCTTTTTCTAGGAATTTCCATCCATCGCCACGTATGTTTGCGCACTAGTGGGAACAGCGAGTGATGGCGCATGCGTTGTTGGTCCTAAATTCAGTCAGAGATAAGCGTAGAGAAATTTTCTCGGACCAGTTCTAGACGAGTCTGGACACACTCGAATATAGAATAAGCTTCAATCAGGGTAGACCGTAAAAAGTCTTTTTTTTAACACGGCAAGCACAACTGCCCTCCTTCGAGATCAAGAATTCAATCGTGCAAAACTCGAGTTTGCAGTCCAATGTCCGTTTAGGTCCACGTTTGGGCCTTAATGGACAGATGCCCTTTGGACATCGCGCACGGTTTCTAAAATGGGCATTGCACTTGTCGCTTCAAAATTGTAGGCGACAAGAATAGTGCACTTTCTCGCTTCTAAAACTATCAGAAAAAATGGCCTTAGTGACATAGGGTTAACAAAATTCTTCCTTCAAGAAGTAGAAAGAGTAGATAATATTGCACTTAATGCGCACATTCGAACAGCATTATTTCGTACGCTGCAGGTACGAGTCCGCGTACTACAGGTTAAGGCCACTGATATTTGTCGTGGGTGTGCAGGATATACTTCACGCCACATATTGATTATATTACCTTGCTTTTATTAGAAGAGTTACATGTTATTTCCTGGCCGGCATTGAATGTTCGTTAATGTCAGGGTTAAGGGCAACTTCAAAGCAAATGCTTTCATACTTCCGAGAAGTCATATTATACAGCCTACAGTAGGAAACGTTTGCTAGATGCATACACAGTATATAGCCTCTAACACTACATATTGGGTTTGTTATCAGTTATCTCTATTAGTTATCTCTACTAAGGTCAGTCCACATCTGTCTGGGCAGACGTGGTCGTTGGCCTGTTGACAAGGCAAACAGCCGTTAAAAGTTGGCCATGCAACGCACTATCAGCTCTGGCCGTTATATACAACTCGTTGTAGCAGCCAATGCATCAAATAGAGCATATTCTGAGAACAAAAGTCATTTTAGAGCACAATCCTCTGTCGGATTACCGTAGTTTAAGCATCCTTCTTTAGGAAGCGATCCCACGAACGAAACAAGTCTGCTTTAGTAGGTAATGTTATGTGTTGCTGCTGGCGTTGCTGAGGTTTTTTGCTCCGTGATTCTGGATAATTCAATAAAAAAAGATATTCATTCTATTGCTATTATATTAACTACATGATTTTGTTTCGCAGCTTTATAAGGTTTATTTCAACACAGTAATGACTGCAATGTCAACGCCACTGCCGCACAAACTGTGATCCGTCGTGTTTTTTGCCGAGGAACGCGACTCATGGTGCACGGATACGTGCCTGATGCATTCAGGCTACGATTTCGGACGTATTTATACCTTGTCTGTTGCTTTTCTACGGCAGTTGGTGGACAACACGCTGCCATTCCAGCTTTATGTATATTTCCGCATTCACGATAAATACTAGTATATACAAGTCGCAGGGTCAGAATCCACGTTGAGTTGAAATCCAAATATTAGAAAAGGTTTCGATACTAAGCCCCACAGGTATTCATTCGTCGCGATGCCACGGGTTTATGTGCATCAAAAGCTTGTTGGGTCACAATTTAAGACAGAATGTGGACAAAGAACAGTTAATACAGAAGGATCCTGGACAAGATCAACAGGGCAAACCCAGACCAAACGCTACTCCGCACCCTGCGGAAGTTATAAAAATCGCTGCCTGCATAAACACCCAATGGAAATGGATAAGAAAATACAACTGAGAGTGGTCATAAAAAGTGCGCATCAACACTATCACTGTGGCAACTGCCCGCGACAGGCGATTAGTAAACCAGCAACGCGAGTAATGATTCTTTTTTCTTCGTCTCTGAGGAATGCTGAGAATTCCGACACAAAACATTAATTTAACATATTTGACTATATCCTGAGGGGGAAAAAAGTCCTAATAGCGTCCATAGGTAGATCACATACCTATCAATGCAGCTCCAATAACTTCTGCAGGGTGTTAAAAAAATACGGTCGCACCGTACCATTATCCATCCTCCGGAAGCGAGAAGGAGATGAAAATGCTTTCCGGGCAAGGCCAAGCGTTCCAGAAGACCAAGGTCTGGAAACACACACGTTACAAGATCCAGGCGCAGAGCAAGCATGCTCGAGCCCTCCACAAATTTCTAGTATCAGTCAAAAACTAAGCTTCCGCATGTACCTTACTTCCTCACAGCGAAATTTGCCGCATTTGCTCT